ACCTCCCTCTCCCCCTCCTCCTCCTCTCCTCTCCCTCGCGTCGCCCGAACGCAACGCATGCACGGCACGTGGGGTTCTAGCAAAACATGCGCGGCACGCTCATGAGACTTGCGTCTAGATGCATTCGCACACGCACCATACACATGACACAACCCTCAAACTGCGACTCCAGGATCGCGCGGTGTTTCGTGGGTGTTTCCCAACATGATTCGTGGGGTTATGGTTTTCTTCGCTGCCGCGTCGCACCCGCGTTCCTTCTCCTCCTCCTCATCCCTCCCCTCCTTCCTCCTCCTCCTTCCCACCATTTTGCTTCTCCGTCTCGGTCTTCCAAGGCATAGCAGGCGCGGCAGATTCTCGACACCATAAAGGGGTACGCAGGGGCGGGTCCCTCAGCGCGGCCGCTATCCGTCACGGTCGCCCAGGGAATAGCAAGCGTGCCAAATTCTCGGCACCGTACGGGGTGCGCACGGGGTGGTCCCTCAGTGCGGCCGCTATCCGTCACGGTCGTGCAAAGCATGGCAAGCGTGTCTCGACGCCGTACGGGGTGCGCACGGGGTGGTCCCTCAGCGCAGCCGCTATCCGTCACGGTCGTCCAGGGCATAGCAAGCGTGGCATATTCTCGACACCATAGAAGGTGCGCGCGGGGTGGTCCCTCAGCGCGGCCGCTATCCGTCACAGTCGCCCACGGCATAGCAAGCGCGGCAAATTCTCGACACCATACGGGGTGCGCACGGGGTTGTCCCTCAGCGCGGCCGCTATCCGTCACGGTCGCCCAGTGCAAAGCAAGCGTGCAAAATTCTAGACATCACAAGGGGGTGCGCACGGGGTGGCCCCTCAGCGCGACCGCTATCCGTCACGGTCGCCCAAGGCGTAGCAAGCGTGGCATATTCTCGACACCCTAAGTGGTGCGCGCGGGGTGGTCCCTCAGCGCGGCCGCTATCCGTCACGGTCGTGCAAAGCATGGCAAGCGTGGCATATTCTCGACGCCGTACGGGGTGCGCACGGAGTGGTCCCTCAGCGCGGCCACTATCCGTCACGGTCGTCCAGGGCATAGCATGCGTGGCATAGTCTCGACACCATAGAAGGTGCGCACGGGGTGGTCCCTCAGCGCGGCCGCGATCCGTCACAGTCGCCCAAAGCATAGCAACCGCGGCAGATTCTCGACACCATACGGGGTGCGCACGGGGTTGTCCCTCAGCGCGGCCGCTATCCGTCACGGTCGCCCAGTGCAAAACAGGCGTGCCAAATTCTAGACATCACAAGGGGTGCGCACGGGGTGGTCCCTCAGCGCGACCGCTATCCGTCACGGTCGCCCAGGGCGTAGCAAGCGTGGCATATTCTCGGCACCCTAGGTGGTGCGCACGGGGTGGTCCCTCAGCGCGGCCGCTATCCGTCACGGTCGCGCAAAGCAGGGCAGGCGTGGCATATTCTCGACGCCGTACGGGGTGCGCACGGGGTGGTCCCTCAGCGCGGCCGCTATCCGTCACGGTCGTCCAAGGCAAAGCAGGCGTGGTATATTCTCGACGCCGTGGGAGGTGCGCACGGGGTGGTCTCTCACCGCGGCCCCTATACGCGCCAATGTCGCAGGACCTAGCAATCGTGGCACTTTCTTGACGCCAAAGCTGGCATACGGAAGGGTGTCGACGCCAGAGCGCCAGACAGGCCACCAACGGTATCGGCGAAACAACGGCCACCTGTACCATCCTCGCAAGTTTCACGTCAGCTATCATCACGCCAGACACATTGTAAGGATGTGGGGGTCCTCGGTCGCGTAATTTGTTTGGACTATGTTTGGATATTCCTCCTGTAGAGGGAGACGCCCGACAGAAGGCTACGTGATCGAGACCCAGGAGGTGTAGGTCGTTCCTCCTACAGGCAACCAGTATCACAAGGACGCACGATAAGGATGCAAGGACCTTGGAAGGCCACGCCGACCCTTTACGAGCGGGGCGCGGGCAGCGATAGCGGCCAAGGACTGGCCGAGGGGGGAGGATGTACATAAAAAACTGAACTTTCTACACCGATGCTCATTTTTCTGGTCCCGCACTGAGATTCGCACACGAAAACGGATTACGGATTACGGATTTTGTTGCTTCCACGGGAAAACGGGGAAACAAGTATACACCACGCCACCCCGACGTCGTCCCCGACCCTCCAAAAGTCGCGGGATTGAAAAACCACCCGCCACTGGTAATGCATATGCTCCAGTTTCCGAGCAAGGGTAAGCTTGGGAAGTGGATCATCCTTACAGGGCAGTTTCTAATACGTAGGATGTGTAAGACTATATGATGTTTAATACATGGTTAATGTATGGATAAAGTTATGCATGAACCCATCGTTGTTTTTTTATACTAGATCCCTGCATTTCTAGTACATGATCCGCACGCGGAGCATGTATAAAAAACAGCACTGTACTCCGCGGGTTGACTGTACACCCTGCGAAATGCTTAAGAAATCATGGGTTAAGAAATTCATCGTCTCAGAATTTGAATCAAAGCCCAGAATGTCTATTCAAATCTTGGGATTTACATTGAAAAGT